TTGGTGCCCTACCCTCGTATCCACTTCCCACTGGCCACCTATGCCCCTGTTATCTCTGCAGAGAAAGCCTACCATGAGCAGCTTTCTGTGGCTGAGATCACCAATGCCTGCTTTGAGCCGGCCAACCAGATGGTGAAATGTGACCCCCGTCACGGCAAGTACATGGCCTGCTGCCTGCTGTACCGTGGTGATGTGGTGCCCAAAGATGTCAACGCAGCCATCGCCACCATCAAGACCAAGCGCTCCATCCAATTTGTGGACTGGTGCCCCACTGGTTTCAAGGTTGGTATCAACTACCAGCCTCCCACTGTGGTGCCTGGTGGAGACCTGGCCAAGGTGCAGAGGGCAGTGTGCATGCTGAGCAACACCACTGCCATCGCCGAGGCCTGGGCCCGCCTGGACCACAAGTTTGACCTGATGTACGCCAAGCGCGCCTTCGTGCACTGGTACGTTGGGGAGGGCATGGAGGAGGGTGAGTTCTCTGAGGCCAGAGAGGACATGGCAGCCCTGGAGAAGGATTATGAAGAGGTGGGCGTTGACTCCATTGAGGGAGAGGGGGAGGAGGAAGGAGAGGAGTACTGAAAATACTAATGGAATATTAATGACAAGAAAGTAATGGAGTACTTTCATGTCAGCCTCTTTTTGTCAGGCTTTTTCTTTTGGTTAATGTGGAATTATAGTTTTATTTATGTATCGGGCAAATAAGTGTTTGCTAGCTAATTCGGATGAGGGAATGATGTCAGTCTGAAATTGCAAAGTCTGTGACTTTTATATATGTATAAGTATAATGTGTGGTCTTTGCTCATCACATGCAATAAAGCTGACTTGAAAAAACTCTTTGTAAAGGGTACAATTCTTTACATAAAACAACTTTAGTGAGAACATTTTCCTTTTGTATGAACTACTAGCATTAATGCTAAAAGTAGAGAACAGAGTCATGTCTGACTGATGCAACCTGCTTGATTCCATTTCTATAGAGCTTTTCATAAGGAAGGCATTATTTTGTGGTGAAAGACCTGTAAGACGTAATATAACATTGTGCAGCTTCTGTATACTGCATATATGAACTCCTGTTGTGTGCAGTCTACTACACTCAACTAGATAGATTGTACATGTTGCAGGCTGCAGTCTTGTCTCATAAATATTTTACAACCACCTTCAACTTTCCAGTCATGTTCTAACTCAACTACCTTTACTAACCAAAATCAGACTTCATGGGAAAAGTGCAGTTCAGCAACAACACTGCTTTCTATTTAAATGGACATCCTATGCTTTTAAAGTTGCCAAATTGTTTATCTGTAGTATCAATGTTAAATATATTTTCTGGCAGTAAACGGTTTCCTTTTTTTTCTGATAAGAAACCTGTAACACTTTGCATTCACTTCCAAATGGTACAAACCCTGGAACACTACAGATCTCCAAACTTTGAGTAGGGGGGGGGGGTCTTGCAACAGCGTCTTGCTTAATCTGTAGATACAAAGTTGACTGATCTGTGACTGTGACGATGTCACTTCACTGAGGTCAAGAGCTCAGCTGCAATGAAAACCAGCAGGTGTTGTAGCCCCCAGGCTAGGGATCAAGAACCTCTGTTCTAAATTAAAGCTAGGCACCAAATTGAAATGATAAATGGGGAAACCATGAACTCAACTGGGAAAATAAACCACACTGGTGCAGTAGAAAGACTGCACCATGAGATTCTAGTTCCTGTTGAGATATGTAATGTCGTGTGAGTTCACCTGCAGCGGAAACAAGCCAAACACTGCAGAACTGTAAACTCTCACTTGCAGAATGATAGTACTGTACTGTTTCTGAGTGCTTTTCAAGACTCAAGGTACTGTACCAAATAACACACCATATACATCCTTCTTCCTTCTCACAGCTTTATCCAAAATGAGGGTACAGGGAAGCTGAAGCCTATTCCAGCAAGCAAACAATATATACAAGAAAAGTACAAATAAAACAAGCACAGGAAAGTTACCTTCTAAAATCACAAGTTAAAAACTAAAAGGTACAGTGAGAATTGTTTTTAGTTTGTTTTAAAAACATTCTACAGTCCAAGAGTCTTAAGGGCTCTTGGATCCACACAGTACCAGGGATAACCACAGAGGGTTTATGTGGTGTGGTACCAAAATACTTTAACATGTTTATTCCATTGCTGAAAAAAAGAAGAAAACACAACGTTTCGTCCGTGGAGCCTTTCGTGCCACCTGAAGAAGGCTCCACGGCCGAAACGTTGTGTTTTCTTTCTTCTTTTTTTCAGCAATGGAATATTACTTGTTCCTTTGCAGCCTACGCATGCTGACGCAGCTACCCACTTGACTTACTTTATTATGTACCTTTGCAGGCAGTAGTTCCCCCTTATTGAATTACAGTTTCACTAGCTTCATTGAAAAGGACAAAAATATCCTTTTAAAATTTCTGCATTGCTCGTTGCTTACTGAGGCCTCAGAAGCTGAGCAATGGAGTGGCTGATTAAAAGCAGTATGTAAGAACCGTAGTGTGGCGAACAGTTAGGAATTCAGCCTGGAGGGTTGTGGCTTCAAATGCCAGGTTAGACACTGCTATTGGGCCCTTGAGCAAGGTACTTCACTTATGTTGTCCCAGTACATGTCCTGCTGTATAAACAGGTATTCTCCAGCTTGTCTCTGTAAATTAGAACTGATTTCTCAGTTAAATAAAAATGAAATAAAAATATTAAAATGAGTACTAGAATAGGAACCCACCTAGTCAAATTCAGCTGCTGTAAGTGTCCGTTAAGGACCAGTAGATGGCGCAGCTCTCCCAGAAATACAAAATTCCACTGTATAGCAAAGTCCTGTAAGTGACAATGGGTGATGTTTTGCAGATGTGGCTGATATCTTGTCAAAACTGAAGAGATTCAAAACCCTCCAAGATTCATTGACAAAGTCACCCCAATAGATTTGTTCTGGTTCAACGGTAAAATATGAACTGAGCGTCACTGGAAACTACAAGGAAAGTGCTTCTTGTCCTTGTTTTTAAAAATTCACTTTTTTTACACAAGAGAGTCTGTTAAATTTCTTTAAAAATGAAACCTACTGGGTTTTTATGACAACAGCTTGCACTTGCAATGATATGGTTCTTCGGTGTAGGTCTCTTGGCCTCCCATATTTGTATAGCTCCTGGTGTGGGCAGCTTTGAGACATAACAAATCCTGTTGCAAGCTAATTTAGCTCAGCTCCAACAGCCCATTTCATCTCGTGCACTGTTGTGAGGTACAAGGAGTTTGCCCCGAACATGCTTACTGTTTCTTCACAACACCCATTAAAATGGACAGTCGATGTCAATCAATATAAACGTTCATTTCCAATGGAGAACAGGCCTAATCCTGAAAAGGGAGAGGTTCACAAAAGCACATTAGTCAACTGAGAACGACCTAAATGACAGCCTGGACACAGTGATACAGCGGGGATTTCACTGGAGTGAACAGGGTGCTACACCCTGCTCAAACGTACAACAACAGTGATCCCCACCCAGGCTTTGAACCTGTGACTCTGTTCCAGAGTCCAGAGTCCTGACCTCTACTCCACACTGCTGCCTAAAATATGTTTTTCTCATGTAAAATGTTTATTCTAGCCTGTCCTTAGGGAGTTTTTCCTTTGCATTGCTTAATTATCCAAGATACATTATTAATCAAAATACCTCAATTGGAGAAAAAAAAACCTACATCTGCAACAATAAAAAATACAAAAGGGAACTTAGGTTCTCAGTTTCAACTGGGCTCCCAATTGGAGCTGAGACCTAAATGATAACTGCAGTTTTCTTGGCTTGACTTAAATGGGAAGCAGCACTTCCGTAACCCAGGGACTTATACAGCAAGACCCTTTGCTCCAATTATTCCTGTTGCGTTGTTGTCTTTTTCCTAATCGAGACGAGCATTGTGTTAAGAGGAACTGTTCAATGAACATCCCCAATCTCTGCCCACCTGCACACAAACAATCCCGCAGAATTTCCTTTTTGCTTGTTTCTTTTATGGAAAACAAAGACGAGATACTGGTGCTCTGAAAAAGCTTTGCACACCATTTAGTGAGAAGGATTTCACTTACAATGCAATAAAGAAGCACAACAGAAACCGATGGCTTTGATGAGGCACATCAGAGTCATGGGGCACAATAGAAAGGCAAGCAGGCTGGGCTTCCGGTAAATTACACAGGGCAGCCAAAGCTGAAGCAAAAGCACAGCCTATCTGATTTCACAACCACCAAATATTTCAAAACAAACTACAGGAGGCAAGTCTACATTTTGTAGACCAAGCAAATTCAATAACCTCCCACTCCATGAGGAAGTCTGTGTTTGGAGCACTCAGACTCCTGCCCTTCAAGTGCGATGCACATATTGGGCAGAGTAAAAGAACCAACAACAGTGACAAAATTCAAGATGCAGTTACAAAGATAAGAGGCAGGGTAGCTAAACCGCTTACTTAATCTTCCCCATCTTCTCAAGCTGCTCACAGAATCAGAATCTTTACAATGCAGGGGACAGAAAACAAGACTATACACCAATCCCACCAGAGAAGATGGCGCTACTGTACATACTGTACAGTATCTTGTAAGGTTTCTGTATGCCACGACAAGAATTTATAAGATGAATGCTCAAAGCAAATTGGAGGTAGTGAAATGCAGGAGTGAAGTGTAAATTAAGAGAAACCTCTAAAATTTATTTTTGCACAACTTTATTCTACCCCTTCCTTGTCTCCTCTCCTAGTTTCTCATAAATGTCTAGCAGGTCTTGCCAGAGGCTCTTTTTCAGTGGAGCTGCTGGCGCACAATCTAACCAGAGAGGACAGCAGGCACTCTCACTGAACAAAATGAGCACAGACAGAATGGAAAGCCAAGAGGAACAACATCCATACAGTTTCTTCAGAATGACTGTAACCCACAGCCCTGTTGCACTACACTGAAATAGGTAATAACGTGGGACATAAAATGGACGAGGCACAAACTCCACACTGTGCAGTAGCTGGCCTTGTGCATCTCATAGCGTCTGACTCAGACCGAGCACCACGGGGGGGGGTGTGCAAAAGGGGGCATCGCCGCCTCAACAGAACTGCCCCGCCCCCTCCGTTTTGGACAAAAGGATTTTTGAACACTTTCGCTTACTTAACTCGCGTCCTAAAACATTATTACGATCTTGTTTGCTCAGGTGGACCGATTCCTTGCGGTTATTTATCCTTATACTTACAATCGTTATATAACCAGGGCTGTAGTTATAGCAGTTTGTGCTTTCTGTTGGTTTTACAACGATTTCTTAATGATTCAGAACCTCGTTCCCGTCGATGTAGCTGCACAAATGAACGCGTGTGGTCTTTTGTCGAACCGGGCAACACTAACCGCGAGTGCTGATGAACGTGAAACCGTACTTCATCGCTAAATACCAGATAGCTCGTCGTTTTCTTCTATCATGAAGCACTAATCGGGGGCGATGATTGCGAGATTGCACTTGGGTAGTTGCAACGGCTCCGTTTCAACCGAAATACCACCGCCCCCCTACAGATTTGTCCCCTAGCGCCGGCCCTGGTCTGACTCGAGACCCTCCAATAGAAAGCTGCTATCTGCACAAAGGGCATGAAAGTGTTGTTTGAAAACCATGACAATCTGGCTGCGTGTGGGGATAATCAGTTCAGTGCAGAATTAATGTGAGAAACACAATGTGGATGCAAAATCCTTTCTTGTTTCTTCCCAGGGGATACATTTTGTTTGCCTCATAAATATGCGAATGCCTTAGCCTAAGGTTAGCAGAGTAGTTTTGTCGGACAACTCGAATCACAATCCCACACCCTGAGGAAGAAGAGTAAGGCTAGGAGTATTCCCAGAAACACCTGCCTCCACTTGCAGTATCACTTCCGGGTCATAACTGCAGGCGTTAGCCACAAACCTGGGCACAATGGGATTCCTCTGTAAGAGAACAGCGACAGAGGCCACAGAAATCCCAGTGTAATTGAAGACAAACCCCATTTCTAAAACCATTCTTAATACAAATAACATTGTCACAGACGAGGTTTGTTTTTTTTCTGCTGTGGTTGATATTACGTATGCCTTGCTCAATAAATAATAATCATACTAGAACGAATACTAATGCATTAATAATAATCGCATTTGTCCTGAATGAGGTCAAACATATAACATTTCTGGAGAGGGCGAAATGAGCTTGCAGGAAACGAGACACTCCTGCAGCAATTCGAGACGGAGACCTACTTCACAGACGCTGGCAATAAATTCAGGAATCACAGTCCAATCACGCACTTTCGTGTAACAAACCCCCCTCATTCGGTTATATTGGAGGGGGAAAATTACCATCACCACTTTTTTCCTACCAGTAAAACACATACAATCCAGCCCGCAGCTCCACCCCTCCCCCGGCCGGCACGGCTTGGCTTTTACGGGTCATTTCACTTCTACCTCTTTGTGCTGAGCGACTTCTCGGTGCTAAGTGCCCAGATTTCTCGCTCGCTTCCTTACTAGGCCGTGGAATTATGATTTGAACGTCTGAAGCGGCCTATCGGCAGCCCGGCGGCCCCTGCTCCCCGGGGCGGGCGGGGAAGCGCGAGCGGGAGGCGGGGCGGTGCGCGCGATGGCGCCTCCCCCTGCCCCGCGCTATAAATGGCCGCGCCCATGAGCTGCACGCAGCAAACTTCTCACAATAGACTCCTAAAGGTCCCTGTGTGAGAGTTGACTCTGACAGAACTGTCTGTCTTTCCTCGTCTCTTTCTTACGCTCCATCAGCGCAGCTCTTAAAAATGGTAAGTGTGGAACGGGGGGAATATTACCACTGGTCTGTGCCTTGTTACTGTTGCCATTCTCCAGAATACAGGAGGAGGTTTTACCAGGTCAGCTGGTGTTAAACGTCTAATACGTTAATAATTAAGCTTTCTAGCGATGATCATGAGATCAGTATCTTGAAAGTGTCTCGGGTGTCGCGCGGCGCTTTGTGGCAGGAATCTGCTGCGTCACAGCATCTCCTGGACCTGCCGGCCGGAGGGCGGTTTTTCTTCCCTCTGTAAGCTGCTAGTTCGCGTTGAGATAAACTGGACTACATTGCTGACCTTAAACCGGCACTGTGTACGCGTGTTGTAATTGTAACGCCAGTTTAAAGTAGGACGAAGCCTCTCCGTGTGGATTTGTGTCGTTACATGCGCAGAGCTAAGAAGCATCAGAAAGAACCGTGCGCTCCTCGGGTCTCTTCCTCCCAGGGCATCTATGCAAGACTCCCCGTGTGACGGTTGATAATGAAGGCGCCGCTCGGCGTGCGGTGTCGCAGTAGGTCTCCGGTCCGGCTGGAAAACCTGATGAAGTCCTGAGCACGTGCTGCCTCCCCAGCCTGGCCGGGCAGCGCGAGGGGCATCTGAGCCGCGTGCGAGCGAATTGTCCGGAGCCCGTCAGTCCGCGCGGTCGCACGCCAGAATGAGAGGGCACATATTAGTACCCCCCGCAAAAGAGTAATCATTTTCCTAAAAATATACGCATATTAATCAATAGTAGTTTTTTTTTTTTTCCCGCAGCAGGGACGCCACGGTTTTCAGAGACGCATCTATTGTATTTCTAACACGAGTGCGGCGGCGGCAGCAGGGACTGCACAGTTAACAATGGAGCCGTCCCCGAGTTCGTCAAAGAAAGGCGGTGTTACCGGTAACCGCCTCAGACAAGCCAAGACAGATGGACCGGTGAATGTAGCCGCGCCTCTGTGTCCCTCCCTTGTTCCAGAGTATTTTCAATGTCGGCGCTTTCATCGGACTGTTTAATACCTATATTCCGCGACAGCTCATCCCGATTTAGACGCAGGTCTGAAAGACAATATTAACATTTGCCCTCTGAATCTTGTTTCGTCTTATTTTTTACAGTATCGCTAGAAGGTTCCCAAGCTGCAGTATAATTTTTTTCCAGGACGACTCGTACTCCCGAGCAGTTAAAACGCTTCGGTAGCTCGGTGGACGGGCGGGGTGCGCAGAGCGTCATGACGTCACGCAGCCCAGTGGGCGACGTCCGCTGAAGAACCTATAAATGTCCGCGCGGTCGATAAGGGAAAGGGCGACAGCGGTCTTGAGCTCCCACTCCATTGAGAGAACAACTCGGCACTACTAGTCTCATTTTCTCATATTTAACTAGCCGATTAACTTTTTCCCCTCTTAGCATTTAACTAATCACTTCAGAACCAAAAGTGCATCTTTCTGACGATCACTCAGAGCTCTTTAAACGTTTGCAGCAGTGCGATTAATATTAAATACAGTAGAGATTGAAAATCTCTCAGTTAGGTGCTTCCTATCCAGAAGGAAACGTGAAAATAAAATCTTTCTGAAACTTTGCAATGTGTCCTGCAACATCTCTTTACTATGACTAATCTCGCCGATCTTTAAGGGAAAATCCAAGTTCTCCAATATCCTTAAGCATATCTTCATTTTATGTGGTCCGCATGTAAAGAGCTTGTAGAAAAGCTTAGATACAGTACAAGGGTTTTCCAAATCCGTCTTACTGGGATCTGGAATCAAATGGGTCTTCTCAAACCCTGGTCCAGGGGAGACCCGATCCTCCAGGCGAGCCTTTAAATCAAATTCCAAAGGTCTGGTATAAATTAAACATGGTTATAAAACTTATTAAAATCGGATCAAAAATCCAGATGTCCTTCAGCCCCCTGGGACCAGTATTTCTTTTACAGAAATATTACTTTAAACTGAACATTTCAAGCTCCTGCTGTAGGTCTGCCCCTGATTTTTTTTTAACAGGGGATTGACCTATAAGAGTGATGGGAGCAGGGTTGGAGACCCCTGCTCTAGGTTATAAATGGCTTTGCAGTGGGAGAACAGTTTCACTGGAACAGGTCACCCCTTCTCTCTCTCTCTCTCTCTCTCTCTCTCTCTCTCTCAAAAAATCTTTTTTGGGGAAACTTGACTAAAGATGTCTTGGTTGAGCAGATAATATAGATGCCTTAAGTGCATTCCAGGAAATGCATAAAGTTAAATTCCCCATCGGTGTTGGGAGACGGGCTCTTCGGAACTATACAGCGCCAGACTAGTTCAGAGTCGGAGCCTGCAATGTGCTGACTTTGCGTTGCAATTGTAATGGGGATTAAAACTGCTAAAAGCCATGATCTTGCCATCAGCCAGGGATGTACATTTCTGAGGTGGGGAATTAGTTGCCATGAGGTCAGTGTGGACGTGTACAGCCCTGGAAATCTGTCCTGCTGATGGTCATGCCTCATCGTTAAAGTGCTTCTGTACAACGTAAAAAAACCGGATCCCTTTGGGAACTTGCTTACAGGTGGTAGACTGATCCTGTGGGCTTCCAGGCCTGCAGTGTGGCTGTATTTGTCGGGTTCAGCTTCCTGTCCAGGATTTAAGATTATTTTACAAATGAAATTCTCAAGATGGATTCAAAAGAACTCGACTGCATTAATTTTATTGGGCCAAGGAGACGGGGAAGCTTCCCCCCTGCCCAGTGTGTAACTGTTTTGTTGCTGGTGGAATGGACCTGTGACTTCGCAGCTAAATGAATGTTTCAGCTAGGGCAAAGCGCGCAAGACCCTTGTTACTGCAGAACCCAGACATCTGAATGGGCTGCTTTCGGAAAGCTGAAGTCATGTGCTTGTCCTCTGTAGAACTTGGAAACATAGGCCTGGTCTGTCTCCGATCTGCTTATGAGCTCTAGCAGGCACAGTCAGGTGATGTGTGGCTTTCTGGTTTGAACTGGTGTTTGTTACAAAAGAACTCCCTTTTCTTCCTGTAGGGGATTAAACAGAAGCCTTATAAAACCACCCTGACGCGAAGAGACATTGAAACAGATTGGAATTCAGTTAGCGTTCTTGGCTGTTGGTGTCAAAGGAACCTTTTTTTTTTTTTCCAGTGGACAAATCCAGATAATTCTTGGCAAGGACGTTAAGCTTACAGGGGCTGGAGTAAGAATGGGTGGTTAGTAATGGTTTCTGATGACATATTAAAAAAAACAAAAAAAAAACAAGATGCACTGATCTCCTTCTCCTATCTATACCTGTTCACATCTCAAAAGCTGTTTTGTTTACCATACACAAAACCAGGTAACCAGTCTTCTATAACCTCAATGTTTTACATTTGATTCCCAGCAAAAAAAAAAAACTTGCACAGTAATCCTATTTTTTAAAAAATCTGTTAAAAAGAAGCTTAAGGGCAGGAGGTGAACAGGAAACCAGTTATGTACAAGGATTATTGAGAACTCTCATCTTCTGCCAGTGAGTAGGTACAGCAGACTGAAAGTTCAGGATGACTCATGCTTTCAGTAATTCAACGAGGAAGGGTGTTGATCAGACAAACCGCTGGTTCGCCTTGTGTGCTGGAACTCGGCACACATTCCACAGAACTGAGCTGGGGAACTTTTCAGGGGGAAAAACGGCATCTGTTTTTAGGCCACTCTTGCTTTTTAAGAATGCACATTATTACCAGACGTTTATAATGGCTTGTAGATGAGCTTGCATTACTTACTTTCTTGTTCAGTAAATTTCTGAAACATTCTGAGGAAAATATGGCTTTCATTTAAACGTTACCCTTTTCAAGGTTTAAGCTGAAAATCTTCCACTTAATTTTTCACCCTTAAAGGGTCTACAGTAGGGGCTAAAACCATTCTATATTCTTGTTTTAATATGCCAGGGTTCTCTGTAAGGCCTGCTCAATATGACTGGGTGTAAGGGAAATGATAACAATCTGCCCCAGGCCAAGTTATAGAGCCACTTGATTTTAACTTCTTTGATTTACTGTGTTGTAATGATTCTTGGTCAAAACATGGGAGTTTTACAATCCTCTTCCTTTCTCTCCACAGCGTGAGTGCATCTCTGTCCATGTCGGCCAGGCTGGTGTCCAGATTGGCAATGCCTGCTGGGAGCTCTACTGCCTGGAGCACGGGATCCAGCCGGACGGCCAGATGCCCAGTGACAAGACCATCGGAGGTGGCGACGACTCCTTCAACACCTTCTTCAGCGAGACCGGAGCGGGCAAGCATGTCCCGAGAGCTGTCTTCGTAGACCTGGAGCCCACAGTCATTGGTAAGCTCTGCAGGCTGTGGAGTGGAGGGGGATCAGGGCTGTTCCTCTTCCTCTTCCTCCCTGCTCCAGAGCCCCTGAGCTCACAGCCCTTCACCCGTCTCTCCCCAGATGAGGTGCGCACTGGAACCTACCGCCAGCTGTTCCACCCTGAGCAGCTCATCACTGGCAAGGAGGATGCTGCCAACAACTACGCCCGTGGGCACTACACCATTGGCAAAGAGATCATCGACCTGGTGCTGGACAGGATCCGCAAACTGGTGGGTATCTGAATGAATGTTGAACAGCCCAAACCACTCGTGTTAAGAATTGAGAAGATTGAATGGAGAGCACATCTGTCTTCTGCAGTAGTCAACCAGATGCATCTTCTCTCTCCAGGCTGACCAGTGCACAGGTCTGCAGGGCTTCCTGGTCTTCCACAGCTTTGGAGGTGGTACCGGTTCTGGTTTCACCTCTCTGCTGATGGAACGCCTGTCTGTCGACTATGGCAAGAAGTCCAAGCTGGAGTTCTCCATCTACCCAGCTCCCCAGGTGTCCACAGCTGTGGTGGAGCCCTACAACTCCATCCTGACCACCCACACCACCCTGGAGCACTCCGACTGTGCCTTCATGGTCGACAACGAGGCCATTTATGACATCTGCCGCAGGAACCTCGATATCGAGCGCCCCACCTACACCAACCTCAACAGGCTCATCAGCCAGATTGTGTCCTCTATCACAGCCTCCCTCCGGTTCGATGGTGCCCTCAATGTTGATCTGACCGAGTTCCAGACCAACTTGGTGCCCTACCCTCGTATCCACTTCCCACTGGCCACCTATGCCCCTGTTATCTCTGCAGAGAAAGCCTACCATGAGCAGTTGACTGTGGCTGAGATCACCAATGCCTGCTTTGAGCCGGCCAACCAGATGGTGAAATGTGACCCCCGCCACGGCAAGTACATGGCCTGCTGCCTGCTGTACCGTGGTGATGTGGTGCCCAAAGATGTCAATGCTGCCATCGCCACCATCAAGACCAAGCGCACCATCCAGTTTGTGGACTGGTGCCCCACTGGTTTCAAGGTTGGTATCAACTACCAGCCTCCCACTGTGGTGCCTGGTGGAGACCTGGCCAAGGTGCAGAGGGCAGTGTGCATGCTGAGCAACACCACTGCTGTTGCTGAGGCCTGGGCCCGCCTGGACCACAAGTTTGACCTGATGTACGCCAAGCGCGCCTTCGTGCACTGGTACGTGGGTGAGGGCATGGAGGAGGGTGAGTTCTCTGAGGCCAGAGAGGACATGGCAGCCCTGGAGAAGGATTATGAAGAGGTTGGAGCTGACAGCGTAGAGGGAGAGGATGAAGGAGAAGAATATTGAGTCTTGCAACTAAATGTAGCTTTCAGAAACTGTCTTCCAAAACTGTTTTCTGAACTTAAACTTTCAGCCTTTAATTTTTTCTATCCCTGTGAAACTTTTAAAGCTGTTTTGAGCACTTTTGTTGCAATAAATGTGAATCTTATTTAACATGTGCCTCTAATACTGAGTTTCCATTTTTTTTTTTTAAATAGAAGAAATAATGATGGCTTTTAAAAAAGAAAAGGTAATCTTTGTGAATCAGTATGTCTAGGTTTCTTAACCTTTGGTATTAGGTCCCCTTGGGGGGGGGGGAGTCCAGGTATGTAACTTCTGAGTTCTATCACCCTTCAATCACACACTGTTCAGGGACCACAACCCTTGTTGTGGATGAATGAATCTCATTCATTTCTGAGGAACTGAAATGTGTGTATGTGTATATATATAAAAAAAACTGAAGCACCTGTCTCACTCTTTCCACTTGTAGAGTTCCTGCTTTGCATGGTAGGATCCACACAACTACTTGATTTGTTTACTGGACTTCTCAAAATGAGCCCTGTGTTATTCCTGGTATACGAAACCCATTCAGAAGAGATCCATTGTTTTAAAAACTAGTCCTTAATGCTGGATTAGGAATGAACATTTCAGGCCAACAGTTTAAGCACCAGTTTTTTGTTAGACAAGAGTGGGCATGTGTATATGGTTCCATATGGAAAGAACGGGGACAGCACATTTAAATAAGAGCAGAGTGAAGAAATAAAATATAAAATGTGCCTTGCAATACATCCATGTTAATGGGATTTATTGGGAGAAGAAAAACTAAATGACCATTTCTTGAGCTACCATTTTGAATTAATCGAAATAACACCTTCCAATATGAAATAATCCCTAGAGACAATGTCTTTTTTTTTTTTTTTTTAAAAGGCAACTTGCCTTCAGTAAAAGCAGGAGCAACTGCATCTTTTAATTTATTTAAATTTCTTACCGGTCACTCCTCTTTTTCAAACTTCTTGGCAGCAATCCATTAGCTGGACAAATCTCTGCTTCCTCAGACAGCTGCTTCTATTGTTCTTTGATGAAGGATATTCTATGCTAGGCCCTGCAATGCATAAAAAAGTGATTAAAATCTAGACTGTGACTTTGCTACACATGCATCAAACCCACCTGATCCACATGACCTTTTTTTTGTCTGCAAGCACCCATGGATTCTTAAAATATTACTGGCAGTTTGCACTGCTGTTCACTAGGATATGTCTTACAAAGGGAATATAATTTTAATCACATTGCAAGTGATTAGATGCAGTAAATACTATGGGAATTTAAATTTGTTTTAATACATATTTTGTATCCTACACAGTAGATTCTAACTACCAAAGGCAGCTACATAGGCAGAATGATCTTTCATTTGTAAAATTAGGTCTTAACAGGAAATTATTTTGCTGAATTTTGTGTCTATTGTAATGCTTAGAAAACAGGCTACTCATACACACCTAAGCAGACAAAGCACTTAATCTGTTCTAAACATTACAGCGTGACACTGACTTCACTGAACACTCGGATAAGGACACAGTGTTGATACAGACTTGATAAAGCTATCTCAGAAATACACATGAAAGTTAGCACACTACCCTGGCCTAGAAGGGGTTGCATTCTACACAGAAAATCACCTGGTTAACATGACAGGCAACTAACTTACTGCTGTAGACTTAGCATAGAGATCAGCCACAGTTTTAATGTGCATCTAATGGTGTCCAGCCTGTTACATGGGACCTGTAACTCTTAGAGCAGATCATCCTACCCTCGTGGTAAGCAAACAATGCCTTTAACTACAAATGTAGCAGTAATGAAGAGTGCAGATGAGAAGAAGCCATTCAGACCTCTTGCTTATCAAGGTTTAAGCAGTTCAAAGGGTCATATCAGTGACAGCATATCCAAGCTTTTCTTTTCCGCACACACACAAGCCCTTTCCCCTTTTCCACCCTGAATATCTGCACCTTTACAAGACTTGTTTATACAGGAGCACAGCAGGTGGTGGTGTTCATTACATCATCGGATTACTGTACACTCACACTGCCAGCTCTGCTCAGACACATGGCTCCTCCACGGGCTTGGGTTGCTGAAGGGAACACCTGGACCTATGGATTTAGCCCCGGGCTGCTCCCCCATAAACTACTACTACAGTATCTGAAAAGATAAACCTCCTGTGCCTAACTAGGAGCTGCAATGGGCTACCTTTCAGAGGCATTCAGCAGGCCTTACAACACTTGTTTTCGTGCTATAGGAAACTGTGGTGGCAGATTTGGGGGGGACATCGTCGGGGAGAAACTGGAAAGGCTGTGGTGTTAAGTGGAGGGACCCCTGTAGAAGCACAGGGGCCACTGGGGCTCTTTCTTCATTCAGCTACAGTCCTCCTGTGTTCAGTACAGCCGGACATCTTTCCTACATTTGACACTACAAGGACTGTTCCACAGGCTGGTGAGATGTAATGCACTTTGCCAAGCGCTTCTGACCAATGTTTTTGAGTAAACTAACTTGGTCTGATGAAGAAGAAAAAGACAGTTTTATGAACCGCGTAGCAGCGGTACTGACCCCTGCAGTTGTTGTTGTAGCCGCGGCTGCTCCAGCGTCATTATCTGTAAAAACACTGTAATCCCAATATCTGTAATGCCTGCGGCTCTTTGAAGGGCGCCCTCGTGTGGGCTCTCTCACGCACGGTACGGATTTATGCGCCTCATTTTTGACGGGTATTAAAACACGCTGTTGCTTCTTCGTAAAAGCCCTGACTAACTTTCCTATATTACCGGAAGAGAAAACATTCTGGAAATGTCCGTTCACGCAAACGCCCCGTTTGACATCACAACGGTTGAGGACAAGTTACTGATATCTTACCCTTCAGTATCTCTAAAGTCGGCTACCTATACCGCCTGCACATTTTATTTAACTATTTGGAGTGAAATTATGGAACATAATAAGCTTTGTTGAGCTACAAATCAAATGATGTCCGCGTTTCGTAGTCATAATTTACAAGGACATTATTTATACAGTACAAATACATGAATTCCCTTACAACATTACGCATATTGTTCAAAAACAGTAACGAATTAAGTGAATTTGTTGAGCTAACAAATCAAAGATGTCCGCGTTTCGTACTCATAATTTACAAGGACATTATTTATACATATTCATTCATTCCCTTACAACATTACGCATATTGTTCAAAAACGGTAACGAATTAATTGAAAACGCTGCCTCCGCTCCTGGCGGGTCAGCTGCAGATACCTGCACTAGCGATCGTCACCACTTTATAAGAACCCAGAGGTTTTTTTTAGGGCGGCCATTGGGCACAGCTGCTACAATACAAATACAAATGAAAGGAAAGCTTAAATTTCCAATTTGTTCACATATATATATATATCGTGATAAAATTAACTTTAGCAGACTCTCCACACTGGACACCTCGCCCTGTAGAAACTCCGTCTCCGCCGGGGCACTAACGGTTCCCTCAGAATTGCAACGAAAGATGACGTGAAAGTGATTCTGGCGGGAACCGGATGTAACGACTCCCGCCACCTGACCTAAAGCCACTTCCGTAAAGAAGTCGCCAGTTTGTACGATTATCTGGCATTCGCTTGAATCGCTCTTCAAAGTGCTTCAGTCGAACGCTTTACATAAAAAAACATGTATGTGTAGAAGTATTTTAATAAATGTAAATCAAATATCAACTTACCAGTTGCTCTTTGAAAAGCAATATGAAGGATTAAAGTTAAACAAACGTTTGTGGTTCTTGATGTAAAAACAAATACAGCTTAGGCAAATGAAAGAAATGTCATTTAAAAAGACAGCAGTCTACATTGAAATTCAAATGCATAATACCTGTAAGATCTTCCCTCGTTTAAAATTTTAGTCTAGAATTTAGTCTGACAAACTGGTAGAACTCAAGGCAGGACATGAATGATACTGGGACGATGTCTCCGATTTGCCGTACCATGTGTGAGTTGTCCTGTGGCTGTGTGAGTACCGTAGGGAACAAACTGTTCTCCACTGAACCCTCTGGCAAGCGATACCGCACTATTAAAGCAAGGACCACTAGACTCAAGAGCAGCTTCTAACCCACTGCAGTGCACATCCTGAACAGCTAACTGCAGGGCCTTAATACACATCTGCACTACGCACTTTTTACATAGTCTACCATTTTTTTGGGGTCTCACTAGTACATATTTACTCTTCCAAAACATATTTATTGTTCTTGTTGTCTACATTGTGTGGTGTTGTCTGTTGTACTGTGTATGTCCCGAGAGATTAGCGCGATTAAGAATTCCAATGTACGTGTTCATATGGCAGTAAAGCACTTTACTCTACTCTAAACGTTTTGCAAAAAAACAGGCTTGACATCAGTGTGATTTTAAGACCAAGTGCCTTCAAGAAAGGTGCTGTCCAGCCCGGCAGATCACAGCCTGTATTCAAAATGTGGTCTGACCAAGGGCAACAACTACCGGCCAATTTGAATAGGTAAATACTACCCTTTTCCCCACACCTAGCAAGCAAATATTGTTCAGAAATAAACTGCAATGATGCCTCTCTAAAAGGAACTGAGACAGAGAGGAAGGACAAACATTTAAATCTTTCTTTTGGTACTGTGTTTCCCTTTTTTGAAGAAGATGATTTGTCTCAGTGCGGCATGTTGGTGTACTGATTAGCAATCTTGCCTCTCAGCGCTGAGGCCCAGGGTTCAATTTCTGAGGTGCTGTCTGTGTGGAGTTTGTATGTTCTTCCAGTGCTTCGTCCAAGTGCTTTTCCACTGGAAGGTTAATTGGCTTCTGTGAACATTAGCCCCCGTGTGAGTGTGTGTTAGGGTCTGTATGCCTTGCAATGGACTGGTGTCCTGACCAGGGTGTATCTTACCTTGCTGGGATAGGCTCTGGCTCCCCCCACGACCCTGAGTTGGATAAACTGGTTAGAAAATGAACGAATGAAGGATTTGTTCGATTGACCTGAAAATGATGGAGAAGGTCACCATCAACATCTTCTTCAGTCATTTGGCACTATGAATTCTTCCTGCAGGGGGCAGTATTGTACCGCTTTCAACAGCGAAATGCTGCTGTATCACTGTATCATCGCAAGATAAAGAACTGTTGCAGGCTTTAGTTTTTAGTGGGAATGCCTCCTCTTTCAGAAAC